ACCTTCACACAGCATGAGGGCTGTTGGCATTTTGAAAAAGGTTAACAGGTAGAAGCATACATGTTTTACTTTTGTTTTTCAAACTTGTTTGTAAACATAAATATGCCCTTTTATTAAATAAATACACAGCAATGTTTTGTTTTTTTTTTTTAATTGCTTTTTCACAAATTGGTCTTAGGTCTAACAGTCCTCAAAACATTAGCCCTTGGGTCTGGCTTGGAATGGATTAGTAGCTTATCAAGCTAATGCCTTACAGAACAATCCTTTTTACATTCAACTGAAAGAAAGTCTCTCCAGGAAAAAAATTTTTTTTAAATTACCCAATGAAACCAAGACTTTGCACATATAGACAAATAACAGCAAAAGCAAAGCAAGTAGCAGTAAATTAAGTACATTAAGGGCATAAAAAAATATTTGCTAAGTGGTACACCTCCAGGACAAGAGATCTAATGGGCTTACCCAAAGATCTAAGTCAATTACCAAATGGTATATATCTCAATCAAAGATCTACGTAATTGATACAAAGACCTAAGCCTAAAGACCTTAAATGAAGACACTTTTTGTTACAAGTCCTAGGATAACAAAATGCACAGAGCAAGAAGAGCCCAGTGGGGCTGGTTGGAGCTGCTGAGACTGGCACCCCTGGGGGCAGATCCTGATGCAACTGGACTTTGGGGCCCAGTGAATATACTGCGGTCCAAGCATCCTGTAGAGGGTCTTCAAAATGATCTCAGTGGACGCTCTAGAACTGTCTAAGGATGATACAAGCACCACATAGTATCTGAAATAGAAATACAAGCCAAACCTACTGCTTACTACAATAAGAAAAAGTTATATTTGTCAGGTACTGTCTCTAGAGCAGAGCAGAATGCCAACAATCTCTGGGGACTGGGACAGCATGGAGTTCAGGAATTGGAGGGCAGTGAATGGATATCACCTTAAAGTGGGGTTACTCAGTGAGACTGCTGTCGATTGATTGGCACTCAGAGGAACGTTTATTGGGGTGAGTCCTACCCTAATTGGCTGACTTTCAGAAGTGAGGGCAGCCAAGGATTGGTTGGTTTGCAAATGTGTATTTACAAAACTGTACTGTCCCTGATCAACTGAAGGTATTTAAACAAGTAGCAAGTTTCCTTCTTACCATAGCTATAGAACAATCAGTCTTTTCCTAAGTTAGTTGGGAAGTTTGAGGAATGTTTTCACTCTTCCCCCTTGTGGAACCATCCCTTAACGTGTAAGACCATTTCTAGCTTGAGCATTCTGGTTCATCTGTCCATCTTCTGTTCTGACAGTGGTGTGGTCTAACCTGCAAATCACCCAAAATCACACTTCTGAGGTAAGAGTCTTCATCCCTAAGCTTCAGTACCCACTATTGATGGTAATCTATCGATTATCTGTGATATTAATAGGAAAGTGAAGCCAAATTAAAGGAAATTAAAGCAATATATTAGATTTATGATTAACCAGTGAATTGTTATTTATCACATAAGCATTTTGGAAAAATGAGAAGTCTAACACATAAGTACATGTCCCCCAAAGAATGCATTTATTTGGAGAGATGAGGCTAATTGTTCACTTAGAAAAATTTTATATGTGAAGTGATGGGCATTGAGGGGGGACATGTGCTGTGATGAGCACTGAGTGCTATATGCAACTGATGAATTGTTGAACACTAAAAAAAATAAATTAAAAAATAAATGATACAGTGTTATGAAGATAATTACAAAAAGTCTAATTTGGCTTGAAAGCTCACTTTCTTTTACCCTACTACTTCTTTTTCTATAGATCTAATGAGCATGTTGAGTAATTGATAGAGTAATTAATAGATTTCAATTCTCCAGACTCCGGTGCTTTATTGCAATCATTGATTAGCAGAAAGCAAAGATCTAAGGAGTCCCTGAGTCAGAAAGTCACAGGGTGAGCAACCAAAAGACATTAGACAACCAGAAACCTAAAACCTCCCAAACAACAAAGATCCTCCTCCCAGAGGAGCCTCTGCTGTTCCAAAAGAACCATTTTAAATCAGTGACCCTCTTTCTTCTGTCAAGTGAGTTGGTGTTGAATGCTGCACCAAGAGAAACGTCAATGCTGATCAACATTTCGCACTGAGGTCCTAGAAAATGTGCTTTTCTGAGACATATGGAGTTCTAGGACTCACCTACAAACAATTCCTAACTCCAAGCAAACCATAAAAAGAAAGTATTTAGAAAAAATATTTAACTTGAATTTAAAGTAGAACCCTAAGGGGTTCTCATGGAACATGACAAGAATTGTTAAAACATGACACTTGAATCTTTGTTGGAAGGGCCTGTGGATGTGGGCTCCCACCCTGCTGTACTAACAACTCAGTGAGAAAGGAGCATGAATCTAACACCTGTGAGGAAACATTTAGCTGAAACACCCTACTGACATGAGAGAAATCATCCTGAATACAAACTTAGAAATAAAATACCTGGAACATCTTTAAGAACACACTTCACTCAACATTAGAACCATGACGCCATGGCAAATCCTTGCAGATCCAATGAGTGTAAGTTTTATTTGGGAATAGCTCATCCTCTGTAAGAACCTAGGTAAACTGTACTGGAAGAATACAAGGTTTTAGAGTGCACTGCCAAATACCCATACAAGCAGGCCTGCACGTAGGGCACTTTACGTTCAATTACAGGGGCCATGACTGAAGTGATGGGCTTCCATGAAACTGTCTTATAATACTTAGACCCCCCCGTTTCTTAAGACTAATTTTTATAGAAATATTCAAATCCTACACTTGCATGTAGGTCATACACCTGGATAAACAACCACTGTGGTCTCATCTCTCAGATGAATGATGAGCTACATCCTGATACGGCAGCCGCTTCGGATATAGGACTGGATCTGAGTGTACGGAAGGGCGAAATCTCAAGAGAGGGAGATAACCTGAATGCCAATCATTAGGAAAGAAGATGGCTCCCGAGAATGGAAACCTTGCAACTTTTCCATTATGCAACAGAAAACTCCTACAAATAGAATGTGCAACTTTGGGGGGTATATCTCAGCCTTAAAGAAGGTTGGCTTTACATTGATAGTTTCATTGTGAGGCTCATTGTGTCTTGCAACTGAAAGTTGAGTATATAAAGGACTAAACATGGGCTTCTGGAGTCAGTCTGCAAAGGCTAATGACCACAGGGAAGGCAGACATGCAGTCAGGATGGGAGGGGCTGGCTGGTTTCCAAGAGTGTGCCGTATCTCAAAAGCCAGAATATCTGGTTGTGTGTTGCTGTATTTATTTCTACTTCGACAAAAGTCTAGTTTAAGAGTTCCACCTTTATATCAGCTGTGCTATAGAGAATTAAGGGGTGGGCACAAGGGAGTCACAACCCTGAGTGGCCAGTGTTACCACCAAAAAAGTGCTGAGAGGGAGGAGAATTTCGGGGGTGGGGGTGGGTGGTTGGGGGATGGTTTAACAGTCAGGACCAGAATTCTCCTTCAATTGCCATCTTTGGAAAATGGGGGGAAATGACTTCTCTGATGCCATTTTAGGATTGAGTTTTATTAAGAAATTGGTGGGTTTCCCTGCTTTATGCTGAAAAATGAAACTAAATATTGTGTTTGTATTTCTGTAAATGAATTCCCTGCAAGTACTACCAGATATGCACTAATAATATAAGAAAGTTTACTATTGTTCCATCTCGGGGTGAGATCGGGGTATAGAAAGGGAGATTTTCACTCCTCATTTTATGTATGTTTTTAAGGGTTGCAGTATTGTGGACTATTTGTTCCAATATTGATGATCTTCTTTTTGATTGTACAATACTTGGTGTTTCACTGTTCTTCAAGTAAATGACAGGAAGGCTATCATACAAATTTAATAATTCATATATCAACTAATATTATTTTAACCATAGTGTTCCTATTTACACTTCATTATTCTATATGACAGATAGGTCGATGTCTTTTGACTCCAATTTATAGATGTAGCCACGAACCGGTTAAGTGGTTTAGGTTAAAGAGAATGACCTTCTGATTTGGTCCTTTGTCTGAAAGCTGCCTGAGAGAGAGCTGTGTAATTCTCCTTTTCAAATGTACTGGGGTTACAGAATGCTGGGGTTTGGAAGAATGATATCTAATGTCCATGTAGTCTCACCTACCAGTGAATGATTGATCAGCCCAGAAATTGTCCCAAATTCTAACTGAACCAGTTAACTTGCTAGTTTAGTAAACCTACCCATTGTAATTTCTCCATATTTAGGCTGTCTTTTCGTCAGATAGTCCTTATTTCAATTCCCCAAAGATGGAAGTAAAAGGACTGGAATGGAAGGAAGAGCCCCTTTCCCAGAAATCCCACTTCTCTGGAGAAGGGACTATGTCGAGGGCCTGATTCTGTGGAAACCTGCCCAAAGGAGACCTGGGAGCACCCAACTGGGGAGAATCTAAGTGTTTGGAGTCTGTTTTCCATGAAAGTTGGGGGAGGGGAGGGACACAGAATAGGCCCCAGAAGAGATAAGTGTCCTGGTGAGTGAACTGTCCCAAATAGTCATAGGAAACTGACACCAGAAGAAATTCTAGAAAATTCCTTTAGGGAGGATTCACACAAACACAGAAAGTTATTAAAATTTTGGAAAATCAGGCTTTAGTTGTCCAAGGGTTTGGTAAGGATTTATAGCACCCTTTCGATTACTCATGTACCTTTGTCCGTAAATGATTTGTACTGCATGACCAGGTTATTTCTGTTTTCCTTGTTGAATAGGCAGCAACAGGGAATTCATCTTCATCACATTTATTATGGATGCTCCGTTCCTTCCATTTCTAAGATGTAAGCAAGCCCCCCAGCTCTGTCGCCATGTTTTCACAGCTGAGGGTGGGCTCCACAGGCTGCCAGTTTCCCACACCCGACAATCGAGGACTTTCTCTTCAAGTGGGTGTGCAGGAGCCAGGCATCCGTGTCTGGATTCACCTTACCCTTGCCTGACAGGCATGAGAAGCTGGCTCTTCATGAAGCTTCTGCTGATCTTTTCCAGGCGAAGACCTCTGCTCAGCAGCCCCAGATGGTGTTCACTGTCCGCCAGACTACCATCACCTTCCAGACAGAAGGGGACACGTGGAGGGAACAGAAAGAGCAGAAAGCTGCCCTGATGGTGGGCATCCTCATTGGGGTGTTTGCACTCTGCTGGATCCCCTTCTTCACCACAGAGCTCATCAGCCCCCTCTGCTCCTGCGACATCCCCGCCATCTGGAAGAGCATCTTCCTTTGGCTGGGCTACTCCAACTCCTTCTTTAACCCCCTCATCTACACAGCTTTCAACAAGAACTACAATAGCGCCTTCAAGAATTTCTTTTCTAGGCAACACTGAGCATGAGGCCTGGGAATAAGAAGGAGCTATCCCCTAGCTCAGTGAAATTTCCAACGCCATCTACTTCCCCATCCCTACCCAGCACCACATTGAAGACACAAGCCCTCGAGGCTCTCCAGGGTTGTCTTCAGAACTAGCCCTCACTTCCGAACTCCTAGGGAGGAATGTGGGTCTTCACAGGCAGTTTGGGTGACCTTCTTGATCTAACTTACTTGTTATTGCTCACTCTGCACCTAACAGCCACAGAGTTTGCCCACAAAGTGCCCTTCCCCCCCCAAAATCCACTCCAGCGTGGTCATCGTCCTTGCCCCAGAGAGGTCAAACAAGGCAGATGAGAGGGAGGGAATCAAGCAACATGGACAGGTTGGGAATGGATAGAAAATGATGAAGAAGTCGGAATGGGGACATCCGAGGGGTAGGAAATCATAATTCCCAGTTTTCTGGAATAGTGCCTAGTTTGAAATTCCATTCTGTAGTCCTGGTAAGTATACCCTAGTACTTGTTGTGTATGTCCCAGTGTTTGGCTACAAAATATTGTCTCTAAACCTATTAAAGTACATAGCCACAGCTGCAAGACCAGTGAATATTGGCTTTAAGGCTTTGTTTGTGGCAACCACGCACGTGTGCTCTGAGCACGTGCATGAGCACACACACACACACACAACTGTGGAGGAGGTGAAGGTTCCACTTGGCTAGTTTATTCTAAAATTCAACCCATCAACTTGGAAAAGAACTAAAAATCAAATACCTCCATCCATTCTGAAGCAACTGTGCACAAAAAAATGTTACAATCCACTGGTTTTGTAGAATCTCTCAAACTTGCTTATTTTCTATGGGTTTTATTTGTATGGAATTTATTCAGATGTTGCAGGACTAAGACCTCTAACCTTGGATCATAGGATTCAAGGAAAACAGTTGTCATGATGGGTGGCTTACCTCAGTATAGTTTCACAACCAAGGACTGTGAAGGCGCACTCCCCAAACACGTACACTTTAAAGGGACCGTTGGTTAATTTGCTGTCTTCTTATTGGTGTGTGAATCCCTGCTAGGAGGCCAACACTAGCAACTAGTGAGAAAGGCAGAAATACGGTAAAATGTGGCCTCAGTCCCTCACAAAGTGACATCTTTATATAAATGAGTCAAGGCAATTAGGTGGTGGTACAGCATTTATATGATCATAGAAAACCCAGGCCATTAGACAAAACTTTAAAAAGGTCTCAGACAATAAAACTGGCTGTGGTCCGCTACGTCCCTGATTCTTTGAATGCATGAATTTTAAAATTATGTATTATAACAGTCTTTGAATTATTATAATAAATATATATATATTTCTTTGTTTATAATAAATTATATCAATTAAGATTTAAAAAATAGGAAATTTATGTTAATTTGTTGTCTTGGTTGGAAGCTTAGTCTCGCATTTACTGCGAAGAATCTTTACTCCAAGAATGTGAGTGAATGAGAAAATGTTGCACAACTTCTGTGAGGTCATGACTGATAATGCTAAATGCAGACCTCATGTCTATGCACTGAAGCAAATTCATGGAAGAATTTACTTGGAAACATTCTTAGTTTTTTGTTTTTTTTTAAAGATTTTATTTATTTATTTGAGAGAGAGAGAGAATGAGAGACAGAGAGCATGAGAGGGAGGAGGGTCAGAGGGAGAA